CCCGCCAACCTAGCACCCACCGACCTAGCACCCGCCGACCTGGCACCCGCCGACCTGGCACCCGTTGACCTAGACTTAGCAGGCTAGCGCCCATCGACCTAGCACCCTCCGACCTGGCACCCGCCGACCTAGCACCCGCCGACCTGGCACCCGCCGACCTGGCACCCGCCGACCTAGCACCCGCCGACCTAGCACCCGCCGACCTAGCAGGCTAGCACCCGCCGAGCTAGCACCCGCCGACCTAGCACCCGCCGACCTAGCACCCGCCGACCTGGCACCCGCCGACCTAGCACCCACCGACCTGGCACCCGCCGACCTGGCACCCGATGACCTGGCACCCGCCGACCTAGCACCCGCCGACCTAGCACCCGCCGACCTAGCACCCGCCGACCTAGCACCCGCCGACCTGGCACCCGCCGACCTGGCACCCGCCCACCTGGCACCCGCCGACCTGGCACCCGCCGACCTAGCACCCGCCGACCTAGCACCCGCCGACCTAGCAGGCTAGCACCCGCCGAGCTAGCACCCGCCGACCTAGCACCCGCCGACCTGGCACCCGCCGACCTGGCACCCGCCGACCTGGCACCCGCCGACCTAGCACCCACCGACCTGGCACCCGCCGACCTGGCACCCGCCGACCTGGCACCCGCCGACCTAGCACCCGCCGACCTAGCACCCGCCGACCTGGCACCCGCCGACCTAGCACCCGCCGACCTGGCACCCGCCGACCTGGCACCCGCCGACCTAGCACCCGCCGACCTAGCACCCGCCGACCTAGCACCCGCCGACCTAGCACCCGCCGACCTAGCACCCGCCGACCTGGCACCCGCCGACCTGGCACCCGCCGACCTGGCACCCGCCGACCTGGCACCCGCCGACCTGGCACCCGCCGACCTAGCACCCGCCGACCTAGCAGGCTAGCACCCGCCGAGCTAGCAGGCTAGCACCCGCCGAGCTAGCACCCGCCGACCTAGCACCCGCCGACCTGGCACCCGCCGACCTGGCACCCGCCGACCTAGCACCCACCGACCTGGCACCCGCCGACCTGGAACCCGCCGACCTAGCACCCGCCGACCTAGCACCCGCCAACCTAGCACCCGCCGACCTAGCACCCGCCGACCTGGCACCCGCCGACCTGGCACCCGCCGACCTGGCACCCGCCGACCTGGCACCCGTCGACCTAGACTTAGCAGGCTAGCACCCACCGACCTAGCACCCTCCGACCTGGCACCCGCCGACCTAGCGCCCGCCGACCTAGCACCCGCCGACCTAGCGCCCGCCGACCTAGCACCCGCCGACCTAAAACCCGCCGACCTGGCACCCGCAGCACCCACCGACCTGGCACCCGCCGACCTAGCGCCCTGTCGTGCCCCGTTGATGGCTCGTGCATTTCGTGGGCGAGGTGTGTGTCCGTTGGACCATGCACTATGGGCTCTGGAGAGCGACGGTAGGGTTTAGCGCTTTGTTGGTTAGGTTCAAGTGGTTGCAGGTATGACTAACGTTGCAGTTGTGCCTCCTTTGGCTCCGGGTGCTAGTGGCCTTAGGGTACGGCGTATCTCGCATCTTTGCCGACCTAGCGCCCGCTGACCTAGGGCCCGCCGACCTAGCACCGGCCGACCTAGCACCCGCCGACCTGGCACCCGCAGCACCCACCGACCTAGCACCCGCCGACCTAGCGCCCGCCGACCTAGCACCCGCCGACCTAGCGCCCGCCGACCTAGCACCCGCCGACCTAGCACCCGCTGACCTAGCACCCGCCGACCTAGCACCCGCCGACCTAGCACCCACCGACCTGGCACCCGCCGACCTAGCGCCCGCCGACCTAGCACCCGCCGACCTAGCGCCCGCCGACCTAGCACCCACCGACCTAAAACCCGCCGACCTGGCACCCGCAGCACCCACCGACCTGGCACCCGCCGACCTAGCGCCCTGTCGTGCCCCGTTGATGGCTCGTGCATTTCGTGGGCGAGGTGTGTGTCCGTTGGACCATGCACTATGGGCTCTGGAGAGCGACGGTAGGGTTTAGCGCTTTGTTGGTTAGGTTCAAGTGGTTGCAGGTATGACTAACGTTGCAGTTGTGCCTCCTTTGGCTCCGGGTGCTAGTGGCCTTAGGGTACGGCGTATCTCGCATCTTTGCCGACCTAGCGCCCGCTGACCTAGGGCCCGCCGACCTAGCACCGGCCGACCTAGCACCCGCCGACCTAGCACCCGCCGACCTAGCACCGGCCGACCTAGCACCCGCCGACCTGGCACCCGCAGCACCCACCGACCTAGCACCCGCCGACCTAGCGCCCGCCGACCTAGCACCCGCCGACCTAGCGCCCGCCGACCTAGCACCCGCCGACCTAGCACCCGCCGACCTGGCACCCGCCGACCTAGCACCCGCCGACCTAGCACCCACCGACCTGGCACCCGCCGACCTAGCACCCGCCGACCTAGCACCCGCCGACCTAGCACCCACCGACCTGGCACCCGCCGACCTAGCACGCGCCGACCTAGCACCCGCCGACCTAGCACCCGCCGACCTAGCACCCGCCGACCTAGCACCCGCCGACCTAGCACCCGCCGACCTAGCAGGCTAGCACCCGCCGACCTAGCACCCGCCGACCTAGCACCCGCCGACCTGGCACCCGCCGACCTGGCACCCGCCGACCTAGCACCCACCGACCTAGCACCCGCCGACCTGGCACCCGCCAACCTAGCACCCGCCGACCTAGCACCCGCCGACCTGGCACCCCCCGACCTGGCACCCGCCGACCTGGCACCCGTTGACCTAGACTTCGCAGGCTAGCGCCCATCGACCTAGCACCCTCCGACCTGGCACCCGCCGACCTAGCCCCCGCCGACCTAGCACCCGCCGACCTAGCACCCGCCGACCTAGCACCCGCCGACCTAGCACCCGCCGACCTAGCACCCGCCGACCTAGCACCCGCCGACCTAGCACCCGCCGACCTAGCCCCCGCCGACCTAGCACCCGCCGACCTAGCACCCGCCGACCTAGCACCCGCCGACCTAGCACCTGCCGACCTGGCGCCCGCCGACCTGGCACCCGCCGACCTAGCACCCGCCGACCTAGCCCCCGCCGACCTAGCCCCCGCCGACCTAGCCCCCGCCGACCTAGCACCCGCCGACCTAGCACCCGCCGACCTGGCACCCGCCGACCTAGCACCCGCCGACCTAGCACCCGCCGACCTGGCACCCGCCGACCTAGCACCCGCCGACCTAGCACCCGCCGACCTAGCACCCGCCGACCTAGCACCCGCCGACCTAGCACCCGCCGACCTAGCACCCGCCGACCTAGCACCCGCCGACCTAGCACCCGCCGACCTAGCACCCGCCGACCTAGCACCCGCCGACCTAAACCCCGCCGACCTAGCACCCGCCGACCTAGCACCCGCCGACCTGGAACCCGCCGACCTAGCACGCGCCGTCCTGCCACCCGCCGACCTGGCACCCGCCGACCTAGCACCGGCCGACCTAGCACCCGCCGACCTAGCACCCGCCGACCTAGCACCCGCCGACCTAGCACCGGCCGACCTAGCACCCGCCGACCTGGCACCCGCAGCACCCACCGACCTAGCACCCGCCGACCTAGCGCCCGCCGACCTAGCACCCGCCGACCTAGCGCCCGCCGACCTGGCACCCGCCGACCTAGCACCCGCCGACCTGGCACCCGCCGACCTAGCACCCGCCGACCTAGCACCCACCGACCTGGCACCCGCCGACCTAGCACCCGCCGACCTAGCACCCGCCGACCTGGCACCCGCCGACCTAGCGCCCGCCGACCTAGCACCCGCTGACCTAGCACCCGCCGACCTAGCACCCGCCGACCTGGCACCCGCCGACCTGGCACCCGCCGACCTAGCACCCGCCGACCTAGCACCCGCCGACCTAGCGCCCGCCGACCTAGCACCCGCCGACCTAGCGCCCGCCGACCTGGCACCCGCCGACCTAGCACCCGCCGACCTGGCACCCGCCGACCTAGCACCCGCCGACCTAGCACCCACCGACTTGGCACCCGCCGACCTAGCACCCGCCGACCTAGCACCCGCCGACCTGGCACCCGCCGACCTAGCGCCCGCCGACCTAGCACCCGCTGACCTAGCACCCGCCGACCTAGCACCCGCCGACCTGGCACCCGCCGACCTGGCACCCGCCGACCTAGCACCCGCCGACCTAGCACCCGCCGACCTGGCACCCGCCGACCTGGCACCCGCCGACCTGGCACCCGCCGACCTAGCACCCTCCGACCTTGCACCCGCCGACCTGGCACCCGCGGACCTGGCACCCTCCGACCTGGCACCGGGTGCCAGGTCGGCGGGTGCTAGGTCGGCGGGTGCTAGGTCGGCGGGTGCAAGGTCGGCGGGTGCCAGGTCGGCGGGTGCTAGGTCGGCGGGTGCCAGGTCGGCGGGTGCTAGGTCGGCGCGTGCTAGGTTGGCGGGTGCCAGGCCGGCGGGTGCCAGGCCGGCGGGTGCCAGGCCGGCGGGTGCCAGGTCGGCGGGTGCTAGGTCGGCGGGTGCCAGGTCGGCGGGTGCTAGGTCGGCGCGTGCTAGGTTGGCGGGTGCCAGGCCGGCGGGTGCCAGGCCGGCGGGTGCCAGGCCGGCGGGTGCCAGGCCGGCGGGTGCTAGGTCGGCGGGTGCCAGGTCGGCGGGTGCTAGGTCGGCGGGTGCTAGGTCGGCGGGTGCTAGGTCGGCGGGTGCTAGGCCGGCGGGTGCTAGGCCGGCGGGTGCCAGGCCGGCGGGTGCCAGGCCGGCGGGTGCTAGGTCGGCGGGTGCCAGGTCGGCGGGTGCTAGGTCGGCGGGTGCTAGGTCGGCGGGTGCCAGGTCGGCGGGTGCTAGGTCGGCCCGTGCTAGGTCGGCGGGTGCTAGGTCGGCCCGTGCTAGGTCGGCGGGTGCTAGGTCGGCGGGTGCTAGGTCGGCGGGTGCCAGGACGGCGGGTGCTTGGTCGACGGGTGCCAGGTCGGCGGGTGTTCAATAAACAACGCAGCATCAGAGAGACAACCCCAGACAAGTATTTGCGGATGCCACATAACGGTAGCAGTTCCAGGTCCCCAGCCCGGCAGGAAGCGGCAGCAGCAGTACGACAATCAACCACGCAGTTATCAGGAGAGATCTAAGCTAGAACGTAACCTCGCAGTCCTTTACCAACAACCCTAAGCCACCGCAGCTAGGGCTGCGGTGGACACCGGTAGGGCTTGCAAAAGAAAAGACCGGCGCGTCATGCTCGAATGCGGGTAAGGGGCATAAGCAGCAACAGCATAGAAAATCCTCGGTCAGCCGCTCCACTGCTCTCCTTGGCCAACCTGCACACCCCGTGCTGTTTCTTCCATAGTCATGCTCTCCTCGTCCACTCTTTACACCCGGGCAGCTTACGGTATTGCCGTTGCCGCTCGGCCCCTCCTTATCCAACCCAAGCCATTCGCACATTCAAATCCGGATAAAGCTATTGACCACCGTCGTGTAAGTTAGCGCTGATGGATGCACAGCTCAGAAAGACTAACCCTCAAAAAGGCTAACCCTCCGTGTGACCCCTGGGTCGGCAACACAGCAGCAAATGAAATTGTAAGGTTAAAGACGAGGTAGCTCAAGGATACGTGAACGCGCGATGGATAAGAACCGCTGCACTGTCCTCGCACGCACGCATACAGTCTCTCGCCCTTCCAAATGACCACCCACCCTAATAACACGCCCGAACAGTTTTTGTATTATGAACAGTGTTTCCACCGCATAGCCCCCTCAAAATCTTATCCTAGCCCCAAGTTAGCGCCTGAGGAGGCATCAATAGGTCTTGTATCGACGCACTTTCAAGTTGAGACTGCAACGTCACGTTACCGCCAGGACTTCAGTAATCACTGTATGGGGCGAACGCTTATATGAGACCCATACATGTGTGCTGGGACCCCTCGTGCCAGATTCAACTATATGAGTCCCAGCCTGTTCCCCATTACGTCCATCTGCTTCAGGACGCGCTCCAGAATCGGCCATTTAGACGCATACGCCTCCTTTGCGAGTCCCCCCTACTTCCACTTCGCACCGCCACACTCATATCTCTCCCATGGTAATCCTTGGCGAACCTAGAGCACCCCGCAGTGAAACACACATGCATGCAACGCAATACTGCCACCGCAACCTAAGTCACCGCACATGCCGCCTCTCGTGTCACAACATAAAGCAAGGCCTAATAATGACGGTGTATCGCACAAACCTAATCATGACCACGTATCATGAGCTCGCTCGGGTATATAGGATGATGCATCGAGAGGAAATGCCGGGCGGCCCAGTTCACGCGAACAGCAGCCTCCCCACCGGGCCCCGACATTGCCAATCCAGCCAGGATTAATAACACTAATTGAAGTCCCAGCCCAAAGCCTCCATAAACCTCCATAACCCAACGAACTCGTATACCCCTAACGGCCAAACCAAATCTCAATGTTTAATGCGTAAACATACCCTCAGAAATACCACCATCACCCCAAATTGCTGATGCCGCTATGCACACCAATACACCCCACCGGCACCTCCCAACAAGTACTCCTGCTGGATATCCCAACTTTCTAGACCAGTGGAAAGACCAACAGCCACCATTACCGCTAGATAGCCTGCGTCTTTGTTCCTCCTCTCCAATCGCCAATACACGCCATTTATATGTCTGGCGTATGCACCTCAGTATAATCACTATTTAATTGCATGCGCCTGCTTTGACAGAATCCTCCCATCCCTTGTAAACCACATCCCTTGCCCGGACTTTCCCTACACCCCAAATCCAACAGGCGTTTACTCACCGCAGTGATTTACTCTCCACAGTTGGGTTCTACTAAGGACAGCCAGCTCGCCGCAATAACTTGCAGCGGGGTAATTACGGGTTTCAATCAAGTTCAAGCTGAGACTCGTATGATCCGCTGTAGAACGTAGTGTTCCAGCACCAAAATGAAACGCCACCAGCTTGCATCCCTCTCCCGCCCCCGTACTCCGCCGAGCCCCGCCCTTCCTCTCCCAACCCCTCACCAAGTTGCCATCCTCTGACCAGCACTCCCAGCCCCACCTAGCGACCCCACGCAGCCCCGCCTACTTGCCGCCTGCCTTGCCGGACCGCCCAAACAGCCGGCTCAGCTTTGAAGTCACCTTCTTCGCCGCCTTGTCCACTCCGGGACTGCCGGACCCCCCGGCACCTCCGGCACTGCCTCCTCCAGTACCCCCTCCCTGTCCGGTGCCTCCGGTTGAGGTGGGCGAGTGGCGCTGAGGCTGTGACGGCGGGGGATGGCGACTGCTGCGCACGGAGCCATCTCCGCTGCCCCTCTCGCCGCCGCCGGCGCTACCTCCGCCGCCGCTGTGACCTACAGATCCAGCTGCTGCTGCTGCTGTTATTGGAAGAGGAGGAGGGGGAGGCGGAGAAGACTGCGGGCCCGCTGCCTGAGGCGCAGAAGCTGCGGTAGCGTTCCCAGCCACCGAAACCTCCCCTGTGCTAATCCTAGAGGCTGTCGCCTCCCTAGCCTGGGGCAGCAGCGGCTGCGGCTGCTCCTGCTGCCGTTGCTGTGACTGCGGCTGCGGCGGCTGCAGGGCAGCCGAGACCGCTGGCAGCAGCACCTCCCTCCCAGAGCTCGACTGCAGCGCTTCCAGTTGCTGCCGCATGACCGCCAGCTCGTTTCGCAGCGCCCGGATCTGGGGTTCAGCAGCGGTGATGAGATCTGGATCCAAACCCATGTCCGAAGCATGCAACACCCCACCCCCGCCACCACCACCGCCCATGCCAAGGCCACCTGTGGCGCCAGCATTTCTAGTCCCGGCGACGCCGTAAAGGCTGCCTCGCGGGTTCATATTGGCGTGAAGCGAGGAAGACCCAGGCGTCGTACCCATTCCGCCGGCAATAGATGCCGTACCACCGTACATAGCCACGCCCGCCACCGGCGTTCCAGTCATGCTGCCACCGCCGCCGCTATGCCCCATGCCTGAATCCTGAGAAGGACGAGTCGACGGTGTCGTACCCGTACCCGTGCCTACGCCACTGCTGGCGCCAGCTGTCGCCGCCACAGCGGCGGCCACCGCTTGAAGGTTGAACGTGACGGCGGCGGTGGTGGTTCCGGACGAGTCCAGGAACTGTTGGGGGACCCCCCTCGGACTGCCGTACCCTAGGTTCTGAAGTATGACAGGCCCGCTTCCAGGCCCGCCACCGCCGCCAGCATTGGCGGCGCCGGCACGCAGGGACCCAGCGGCGGCTGTGGCAGGATGGTTGACGCTCGTAGCCTGACTGGCACCGGTAGCGCTGCCATTCGCTGTACCCGTTCCTGTATTAGTTCCCGTAACCGTGGCGGTGTGACCTGCACTGCTCATTTGGTTGCCTAGGTAATGCCCGGTGCGCCCCAAGGCGTCCGAGTCAGAGCCAAAGGTATGGCTGAAGGCATGGGAAACATCGCGCGAAGGGCCTCCGCCAGCAGCTCCGACCCCACCACCGCCACCGGCGCCGCCAGCTCCCCCGCCGCAGGATACGTTGTTGCCGTACAGTCCCAGACTGACGGAGGCGCCGTTGCCAGCTTGTTCAGCGGCCGCAGCAGTGCCAGCGGAGCCTGAAGGATTGCGTTGTTCGGCAACGCCGCCTGGTAAGTGCTGCCCACTGCCGCCGCCAGCACCGCCGACCAGAGCCACGCGGCCGCTGCCGACAGTTGTGTGCGAGGAGTGCTGCTCTTGGGGCAGCGCAAGGCGGTTAACCGAATTGAACAGGAAGTCCTCCACCAGGGACGTCGCGGAGGCCAAAGGGCCGCGCTGCCCTGCGCTGTCGCCACCGCCAGGGGCCCCGCCACCCACGCTGCCACCGCCGCCGCCGCCGCCTACCAGAGCAGTGCTGCCGTACCGCATCACGCTTGCGACGTTCAGCAGCTGTGGCGGCAGGTACTGATGCGCCAAGGGGTGAGCCTCTACAAGCCACAGCCGCCGCGACGCAGCGGCCACAGCGGCGGCGCCGCTGCCGTCGCCTTCAAGGAACAGCGGCCCCCGGATGTCGGCAGTGGCGCCGCTAGCCCGCAGCGCGTGTGCCTCAGCGTCGGGTGCCACAATGGTCATCGGTGGAGCCCGGCGGGCCAGGTCCAGGAGCTCCGCAAGTACGACACCAAAGTACTGCATGCCAGTGGTATTTGCCGTACCAGTGGCAGCGCCGTCACGAATGCCCTGACCCATGATTGTCCCCAGCGCAAGCGCCTGTTGTAGCTGCAGACACGTTGTCGTACCGGGTACCGCAATGGTGGTGGCGGCGTCGAATAGCGCTCGGCCGACGCGGTGAAGCGCCGCCAGGCGCAGACCGGCGGCGGCGGCGGTGTCCGGCGCTGCCGGCGCCGCTGGCGTCGGCAGTGGCGGAAGTACGGCAGCAGACATGACGCCTGTTCCCGCCTCAATGACGACCGCCCCATGGGCCGCAACCGCCCGGCAAAACGCCGTAAGCATGCGTCCAGACAGCTCCGCCATCTCACCAGGAAGCAGCATGCGGCACAGCCCGGCGTAATCCGCAACGGCTACCACCAACACCGCGGCATCGGTCCAGGTATGCATGGTCGGCACCGCACCGTATGCGGGCCCCAGCTGCCGGCTAGCAGCAGCAGTTGGTGCGACGCCGCCGGCTGCCGTAGCGGCGGTGTCACCAGAGCCAAATGGCGTCCGGTTCTCAGGGACAATGCTGTTGTTGATTTGCTCTGCACCTGCACCCAAACCAGCGGCCACACCTGCGCCTGCAGCGGCAGCAGCAGCGGCAGCACCCGCTGCTGCAGCTGCTGTAGGCTGAGACCCGGGTTGGTCCGCGGTATGCGGCGGTGAGAGGCCGGTGGGGACGTCCCGCGAGCGCAGGTGCAGGCGGATGCGCGCCAGCAGCTCATTGCGCCTGCAGCACATTGGGGCGGAAGGGAGAGGGCTGAGGAGCTTGGGGGAGAGAGCAGAGGAGCCAGAGGAGCTAGGTATGGGTAAACTCATCGCTATGAGGGGCGATAAACGAGCGGCGTGTAGGTTATGTGTCAAGTAGCGCATGACAACAGCAAGGCAAGTGCATGCTAGAGTAGTTCGCTGCATGGGCCTGCACCCGCAACCAAAGGCGGGTTCATGAAGAATGCTGCTCTTTAATGGTTACCGGTAAGAAGCAACGTGAACCACAGGGGGTGTCAAGGCCTTACCTGAAGGGCTTGGTGACGTAGGTGTTGGCCCCGCACTTGAGTCCCTCCACCACAGCGCTCTCGTTGTGGCGAGCAGACAGCATGATGACGGGAACCTGAGGGGACCCGCGGGTCGGCAAACAGCAACGCCGCCGAGATAAGACGTTGGCGTTGTAGGCCACGAGTATAACCCAAAACACCATGCCGCTAGCACAAACGCCGACACCTACAGAAGAAAAACATCCGGCATAACCTAGATTCGCTCCGGCCTTCTCCTCCTCACACGCACGCGCGCACGCACGCACCTGTTGTTTGTTGTACATTTGCCGTATGCAGCGGCAGACGTCGAATCCCGACATGTCTGGCAGCGAGCAGTCCAGGAGCACCAGGTCGGGCGGGATGCCGCCGCTGTTGGGGCCGCACACGTAGGCGAGACCCTGGCCGCCGGTGCTGGCCTGGGGGAGGGAGGAAGAGGTGTCGGAAAGGTGTGGGATAGGAAAAAAACCGGGTTAAAACAATGTGCAGGGATAAGTGATGGGCCGAAAGAGGTGTGTAGTTGAGTAGGACAAGAGCAAGCAGTTGGGATAGGTTCGCATGTGAACCGCGAGTACAGGCAAAACAGACAAAACAGAGGTGACCGAACCTGAACCATAATTCAAGAAACTGCTTAAATGGCTGTTGCTGGATGTAAGAAGAGTGGCAGGTGACGAGTGACGACGCATGTCGGTGATGCTGATGGTGTCGGAAAAACTAAAATACTACCGAGAACTAAAGCCCGCTGACCAAACTCGACACCGGGAGCCCCCGCTCTGGTCACGCGGACTAGACACCACAAAAGAAAGAGGTGTGTGTTGGCCGAAAGAGGCCGAAAGAGGCCGAAAGAGGCCGAAAGAGGTGTGTGTTGGCGTGTCTTGTGCCTGCCCCAAACACTCATATGAGGGTACTCTGGTCCCTTGTTACTCCAATCCACCGTATCAACATGCGGAAGTGCTGACGTCATGTTTTCTTTCCACTCCAGCCGCTAACCAACCAACTGAGGAGGTTCACCCCAAGGGCGGTTCCCGTGCCGTGCCCCACTGTCGTACTCACCCTCACGTATTTGTAGTGCTGGCTCGTCAGCATCCCCTGCAGCACCACCTGGTTCACATCGTCATCGTCAATACACAGGATCACGCGCTGGTCGCCGCTGCTGCCGCCGCCAAACCCGCTGCCCAGCATAGCATTGGCGCCGCTCACGATGCCACTGCCGGCGGCGGATAAGGTCCCACCCGCCCCTCCTGCTCCTGCTCCTCCGCCTCCGGCTGCTGACCCCGCCGGAATGCCCCCTGATGCATCATCAAAGTTATTGCCGCTGTCCAACAATCCCATGCCGTACCCCAGAGCAGCAGCAATGCCGCCGCTGCCACCGCTGGCGTTGAAGCCCCCGCCGCCGTTGCCGGAGGTAATGGCAGCAGCAGCGGCGGCAGCGGCTGCTGCGGCGGCAGCTGCCGGGAAGGGCGGTACGGCAACTGGGCTGAAGTCGGAGATCGGGAGGCAGGCCAGGTTGTCCAGAGCGTCCGCACCTGCTGGCAGCAGAGCGTAGAGGAGGGGTGAAGGTGAAACTGTGGTCGTCCCTGGAATGAAACGTCGAAAGAGGTGAGGCCGCAGCACCCATGTGGGTGACCCAAGCACCCTTCCATCACACTGAAAGAGTGTGAGGGTAAACGCAAACCGCTACCCTCCGTTCCCCACCCTCTCCTTCCCCTCCCTCCATGAGTCGGGGTTCGGCATGCCGATTCCGCTGCTTCACTTTTCCTTTACTTTTCCCTCCCTCCCCTCTTCCTCCCCACCTTCGTCATGCTCCCAGTCCCCGTACGCCAGCTGCGCCCGGATGCGCGCCAGCAGCTCGTTGCGCTTGAAGGGCTTGGTGACGTAGTCGTCCGCACCCAGATCCAGACCGCACACCACATGGTCCTCCTCGGTCTGCATGGAGAGGTGCATGGGAGAGATGCAGGGGAGGCATGCGTTGGATGAGGAAGGGGAGGGGTGATGTGTATAGGGTTGATCGCAATGGACTGATAAGTACCGGTAGCAGGGGAAGAGGGGTGGGCGAGGACGGAGGAGGTGTGGTTAAGTGCAAGAAAGAGGCAGGTAGTACAGACACGGGACTGCAGGGACCCAGGTGTACCGTGTGCTGTAACCCGCCACCTCCCCCCTCCCACCTGGCCAACCCAAACCAACCCCGCCCCGCCAAGCCCACCTGCGCTGACACCATAATAATGGGCAAGTGCACGTGCGGCGTCATGGCGCGTAGCCGTTGCAACACCTCATAGCTGGGGAGGGAGAGGGGGAGGAGGGGGAGACATGAAACCACGTTTAAAATCGATGTCCCAAGGAGGAGGAGGGTGTGTTGGGAAAGGTAGGAAGGGCGTTAGGAGAGGCGGCGAAATGAACCCGGAGAGAAACCCAATGGGCAAAAATACCATAGCGCGTGTCAAAACACACATGATTCCCCCGCCTTTACTCCTCCCTGCCCGCTCTTCCCCCGCGCTCACCCATCCATCTCCGGCATCATGCAGTCCAGCAACACCAGGTCGGGCAGTGCGGGAGCGCCAGCCACGTAGCGGAGCGCCTCCGCACCGCTGGGTACGGCAACCACCTCGTAACCTGCGGTGGGAAGCGGAGGTAAAGGGGGAGGTAAAGAGGAAACAACTAACTGACGATGTGATAAGGCGGGAGGGGGACATGCACTGAAGAACAACGGGAGCACGGCCGCATGGCAGGGGAAGGGACATAGGGGTTCTAGGCTCCTTCCCCCTTCCCCCTTACCCACCGCACCTATCGTTCACAGCATGGCATGTTCCCGGCCAACCCCCTCCTGCCCCCTCACCTGTGCTGCCCAGCAGGGATTTGATGACCGACTGGTTCACCAGGTCGTCGTCCACGGAGAGCAGCAGGAAGCGCTTGTACATGGTGTAGTGGAAGGGGCGGGGGCCTGGGGGTGAGTGCGGGGGGAGGGCAGGGTGTGGGTGTGGGGGAAGAGAAGCAGGATGGAGAGAAGTGGAAAGAAAGGGTAGAGGCAGACAGAACGGAAGGGCAAGGAGGGGAAGGGCATCGAGGAAATAATCGCCTCCATTCATCGCACAAGCAAGGGGCGGGGCCCTTATCTCGAACCTTAAGCGTCTTCCTCACCCCCTCTTTGTCCCATAAGCAATAAGCCTCGTAACCCTACCCTACCCAGCCTACCGTGCACGATCTTGGCGTCCCCGCCAGGCAAAGTCTGGGACGACGCCTCTCCGCCTCCTCCCGGTCCTCCTGCTCCGAAACCGCCGCTCATCGCCGCTCCTGACCCTGCCGGACCTCCTCCTCCACCACCTGCTACTGCTCCTCCTCCACCGTTGTTGCCCGCTCCGCCACGTGCCATGTACGGCACATGAGGGGACATACCCGTCGAGGAGGGATTGGGTCGCTCAACCGACATCCGGGCTGCAGTACCGTCAGTGCTGGACGAGAGTACGGCAGTGTGGTGCTGGTTGTGGGGGTAGGTGTCTCGTGCGGATTGGGTGTACGGACGGGAGGAGGCGAGGGCTGACAGCTCTGCGGCGTTGTACATGAGCTCGCCTGGGGGGGGGGCGGGAGAGTGGGGTGGGCGAGGTGGCGGTTTGGAGGGGAGTACGGCAAAGGGGCTGAGCACGTTTCAAGACCTTTAACCTATGCCAGTGTGCATGTCTGTTTACCGCGGCCCTTGCAAAATGGTATAACAGCACGAATAAACAAGTTTTCAGCTAGTTTGCCCTAATTGTCAATAGGAATAAGAGCGCAAATCCCACACGCCCCCAATGTCTCACCATACTGCGTGAGCTCCGAATCCACCCCTCCGCTGCCGCCGCCGTCCCCAGCCGCAGCCGCTCGGCCTGGCCCGGGCCTCCGACCCGCGTCGCTGCAGCTCAGTGCCGTACTGACGGTGTCATCTGCCGTACAACCCTCTCCACCGCCGCCGTCCCCACCGCTACCCGAGATCCCGCTGCCGCCACCAGGGCCCCCCGCCCTGGGCTTGACGCCTGACAGCGTCTTCACACTGCCAGTGGTGGTAGCAGTGCCGCCAGCGTCGCCGCTGCCGCCTCCGCCACCGTTCGTACGGTGCACCGCAGCGGACGAAGATCCGCCTCCGCCGCCAATGGTGTCCGTACTGCCGTCAAGGAGAGACGAGGAGCCGTCGTTGGTTGTGGCGGTAGCTGTGCCTGTGGTGGTGGCAGTGGTGGTGGCTGCTGCGCCGGCCGAGGTGTGGGGGACGAGGGCGGTGCCGGGGGCAGCTGCAAGCTGCGCTGCGCTGCGCTGAGCCGCCGCCTTGGCCTCCTCTATGGATTCCCTGCCCATGGCCCTGTTGCCGGACGTTGTCGTACCGTACAAGTACGGTATCAATGTGAAGTACGGCAGGCAGGAGGGGAGAGGGTAGTTACTGGCATTGGCTTGGCATAGGTGGATGGCACAGGTTGGTGTGTATGCGGCGAGTTCATGTGGCGAGGCATATGTAACCACGCATACCCCCCACCCCGCCACCTTCTAACCTAGCAGCCATGTCGTGTTGCATGACACTGCTCGGGTCCAATCTGCCTCTCCTCCCTCTGTGGCGCCCCTTTCCGCCCCCCGCGCCCCCTGCCCCCCCCCCCCACCTGGCCAGAGGCAGTGTGAAGGTGAACGCGGAGCCCTTGCCTTCGATGGAGGACACGTTGATGGTGCCCCCGTGCGCCTTGACGAGCTCCTGGGGGGGGGGGAGGTAGGGGGGGATGGGACGGGAGGGAAAGGAAGGGAACTGGGGTGGAAAATGGAATGAGCATGTGGAGTAAGGCGGGAGGGGTAAGGAGGTGGGCGCAAACGTGCGGCGCATACACACTCGCGGCCAGTTTTCTTAACACACTCCAGAAGGACACAGCAACCCGGGCCCACCAACCGCCTTGTCTGCATCCAACACCCTGTTCCCCTCCCCCACCACCACACACACATACCTGTACGATGTTGAGCCCCAGGCCGAATCCGCCGTACTTGCGACTGATGGACATGTCCACCTGGCAGGTCGGGATGGGGGTGGGTGGGGTTACGTGTGGGGTTACGAAAGCAGGTCAGGAAGGAGTCCTGCATGGTCCTGCTCCGACACTCCAACCGTCAGCCCGTTGCGGCCCAGCTCATGTACGTCTCCCCCCCCCCACCCGCCCCTCTCCCCCTCCTCCTCCCACCTGTTCGAAGGGCAGGAATATGGTTGCCAGCTTGTTCCGCGGGATGCCGATGCCGGTGTCCGCCACCGTGACCGCCACCCGCCTGCCGCCCTCCACCTGCCGCGCGCTCACACGGATGGTGCCGCGGCGGGTGAACTTGGCGGCGTTACCCAGCAGGTTGTTCAGGATCTGGGAGGAGCGGGGAGGGGAGGAGGAAAGGAGGGAGGGCGGGGGGGTACGTGTTGGGGCGGCTACGGATTTGTGTTGACCAAATCGCGATGGCGCCCTTTCCTAAAGCCTCCTAGTTTGGCCTCATCTTCGCTCTGCCCTCATGCGGCGCACCCCCCATTCCTCCCCTCTGCCCAATAGTCTCTGACCCCTCCCCTCCCCCTGGTCCCTGCATGAGTCGAGATTCGGGATTGGGACTCCGTTGATGCACTTATCTAAATATTTCCCCCTGGTCTCCCTCCCCCTGCGATCCCCCCCCCCTGGGTCCCCGTCCCCTCACCCCCCTACCTGCACGATCCTGCCCGTGTCGCCCACCACCAGCATGCGCGGCGGCACCAGGTTCACCAGCGCCACCTCGCTGTCCACCAGGCTGCGAGTCAGGTCCAGCACGTCGTCCACAACATGGCGCAGGATGACCTGGCGGGGGGAGGGGGAGGCAGGGGGGGGGATGAGGGGTAGGAATGAGGAAACGATAAAATAAAAAATTGACGAGCTGTATGACAAGGCTTCGACACGAGGTTCGGGGATGAGGTGGAGGTTGGGGGAAAGAGAGAAACCAGCCCGTAGGATTGTTAATGTGCGTGTAAGTTCACACAACACATCTTGTTGGATCTCCTTCGGCCACTTTGCTTCGCCGTTACTGTTTGCGTGGCCCTAGGGGAGAAGAACTTGCCACAGCCCGCCCACGTATCATCCCACCCCAGCCCAACCCCACCCCCACGCCTTATCCCTCAGTCAGTTAGTTGTTTCCTCTTTACCCACCCCCACCTGCTCACTGCATGAGTCGGGATATGGGATGGGGACTCGTTGTTTCACTCATATAATTCCTTTACCCCCACCTGCTCCTGTTTGAGCACCAGCTTGTTCTGTCTGAGCGCCGCCGCATCCATCACGTCGTTGATCAGCGCCAGCAGGCGGGCGCCCGATGTACGGATGATGTAGATCTGCCGCCGTACACCCTCCGGCAGCACACCGCAGCAGCCCGACAACATGCCCTCGGAGATGCCTGGGGTGAGGGCGAGGGTGAGGGAGGGCAGCAGCAGCAGGAGCGGTGTGGTGAAGGGTGGATGTGCCGGTGACACCATCGGGTCGTTCCCGGTGGGGATGCCATACGTGTCCAAAACCATGACATGGCGATCGACTCCTACTGGCCACCTCGCGGCAGTGGGGGACCAAAGCCAGGTGCACTAGGTGCGCTAAACGCTCAAGTTATGCACTTCTGACCGCACAACCCAACCAACCCAACTGCCACCTCACCCCGCTCACCCCGCTCCTCAGCTCTTACAGCATTATAAATCTTTAGCCAGATCCCGAGTAGCCCCACATACTTCAACCCCATCTCTCTTACCGATGATTCCGTTGAGGGGTGTCCGCAGCTCGTGGCTCACTGAGCTCATGAAGCGCTCCTTCTGCTCCAGCAGGGCCTGTTGGGAGGGAGAACCGGAGCAACGTGGAGAGCTAAAAGAGTGGTTGCCAACCCCAAGCCGGATAGGTCCAAAATACAAGCAAGGCAAAAACAGCACATCTGACATGCAACAAGGACAGGCGGGGAAGAAATAGTAAGGGTTGTGTGAAGGAAGTGGGTGCTTAGGAAGAGGAGGGGAGCCGCCAAACTAGGGTGACTCTCCCGCACACGAGCTACTGGTGGCCCCCGTGCTGGATTGGTTTGGGTGGGCACTGTTGTGGAAGTCCCGCACTGACCCATGGGTCACGCACCTGCAGTTCCGCTATGAGCTTGGCCTTGCTGCTGCCTTCGATGACCCGCATGGCGCTCTCCCGCCGCGCCTCGAACTCCTTGAAGGAGCTCAGCATGAGGGTGGAGGAGAAGAGCACCTGCAGGGTTCGGCGGGGTGAGGGAGGAGGATGGGGAACGTGGGAGAGGGTCGGAGCGGGAAGGAGCGAAAAGCATGAGAGATGGGGAAGACGGAGGTAGTATCTAGAAGATTGCATGGCTTGAAACCTGGCGCGCATGCCCTGCTCCTGTCATAGACACCTTTTGCCAGTACGGCAAGGTCCTGCCGTACGCTGCTCTTACCACGATGCACCCTCCCACCCCCTAACTTCCCTCCCTACCTTGGCGCTGAAGTCACATGCGATGTAGAGCACCTCCTCGCTCACCACACTGATCCAGCCCAGCAGCGCTAGGTCCCACGTGATGGCGAAGGTGCACCACAGCAGCTAAGGGGAGGGCAGGGTGGTGTGGGGGCAGGCTATTTGGAGCCTCGACGAAGATGTTTGTACACCCAGAAACCCTTCCAACACAGTCACCCCGCGGCCCCTTTCTCTTGCCCTCTCTCGCCCACCCTCCCCTTTCCCAAGCCGCTCACTCCACAGACCCCGACCCCAGAGTCCCCCCCCACACACCCTACCAGGTTGAGCACATACACGCACAGCATGGTGAGCTGCAAGGGGCGGGTGCGGACTTGCCGCATGGCCCTGCGGGAAGAGGGGAAAAAAGAAATTCCAAAGTATGGTGTGATAATGAGGGGAGGGGGGGAGAGTGGGAGGGGAAAGCAAGCGCTTGTCACACGTTCCCTGTCCTTGCCCGCGCTTCCCTTTTACCACATCATCACGGTCCTGCCCCCACATCCCCCTTCCTTACTCGGTGAAGGCCTTATGCATGTACGGCACCACAGGTAGCATCGCCACGTGAGTTATGATTGACCACAACACTGTGGTGAAGGGGTCGGAAGTGGGTTTGCACGGGAGGACGGGGATGTAAAGCTCAGGGGAGGTACGCGTCTGGAAGCCCGCACCGGGCCGCGGGTATCGGTTGAAGTGAGCAATTGAACGCATTAACATCAGTAATGACAGGTGATGTCCCATCGGCTGTTTCTACCGTCTAATAGCGGTACGACAGCCCTATGACAGGAGCCGCGTAGGTAAGGAATAAGCCCACCTCCCCCTTCGTGTACACAAGTGCGCCCTCATCACCGGCGCATTGTACCTTATCCTTTTGGCTGTCCCTCCCACACGACCCCAGTCAGAATAGTCTATGACTGCCTCCTTGCCCCTCCTACTCCTTCCCTAACTTCTCATTTCTCCTCCCTGGCACCCACCTCTCTGCCATCCAGTGGTCACCAGCGCCGCCACTCCAGTCACCACCATAAGCTCGTCAAACAGGATGGCAGTTACGGCCTGTACGGCATAACACACATGGGTTGCAGCAGGCAGATGCATGCATGGGGTTGGCGCAGGGAGGATAACACATAAGAACATAACAACTTGGGAATGACGAGAAGCAGCATGGAGGCATCGTGGAGCTGGTCAGGAAGCGATAGCAACAATGTCCCAGTTGTTGGGGTCGTGGCTTGAAACCGCTGAGGCTGTGTGGCTCTCGGTGACCGACCGACACCGCATCAGTGACCCATGGGTCGACCGGAGGCCGGGAACCAGCCCACAAACCCATTCACCTCGCGGGTTGTAATGCTGGTTGAGATCATCTTGAGCAGCATCAAGATGGTTGGCGTGGTGTGCATCCAGCAAATGTACCGTTGCACGACAACCCTGTTTGAGGCAGACGGTTGGAAAAGACAGTCGCTCTGGGATGCTAATCCGATGCTTGCCGTTGCGGATCTTGTGCGCGCGGATAAGCAAACCGGGAAGCTTTTGTGAGATTGTGACATAGATCATGGTTGTAGCAGTGGCCGTTGCATGGATTCGTCTGCGGGCTCTAGAGTGTCCTTGTTTTCGTTTAGCCCGTACAAACACTTACGGTCTTCCGTAATTAGTCAGAGCTATGACGGGTGTGAAGAATCGGACCAGCACATTGGTGGTGGAGGCCGCCCCTGCAGCAGCAACAGGAGGGGAAATCAGCATGTCATTAAGCACATGTCCTCCTGCCTTTCCTTTCTTCGTGTGATTACCATACAAGGACAGTCGCAGCCGTGCTGGGCTTGGAACTACCATAGCCGTATGGTGCCATGCGACTCACATGGAACACCAAGGGGTACGACAAAAGTCCTTACCTTTAATGAATGCCGGGAGCAATACGCAGTCAACCTTTATCGTTTGGCGCTCGAAGATAATGTTCAAGATGTCCATTGCCAGAGCCGTCAGGAAGATGGATGAGGAGCGGTCGTAAACTGACACCGGGACCTAGGAGTAAGGGAAGAGCAGACTGGAGGAGTTAATATGATATTTGCAAAGCCCCGGAATGGACATCGATGTGGTAGTCCCGTACTTGCATACTCCCCTGGGGAGTGAGTATAACCGCCGCAAGGGCATTCCCAGATGTTTTCCTTACGCAGTACAGACATGAGCGCAGACATCTTCCAGACGGCGGGCCAGTTTAAGCACGCCCCACGCCCGGTTGAGACCCGTTTGTCGTGAGTCCCTTGAACGCGGGGCACTTGCCAAAGAAGTGCTTGCGTGCATACTAGCCTTTGACCAGCCCGACGACCGACGAAGTTCGACATAACGATTTTGGTGTCGCTTTCCAGCAAGCATACCACGATTTCAGCCCTATAACGACATGCCGCATCCCACCTCTCTCCTGAGGACGTCCAGCCCATGGGGGTCGTGCAAGATTAACCGGCCAAGTAGCGTGAGGACCACATAGGATGTCGCGCCAATCCTGCAAGTACCAGCCAGGGTTGCATTGCTGCATAACCGCCAGCCGAAATCCGTTGGCGGTGTCTTTCATGTTGCCTCAGATAGCTTACAGAGTCCAAGGTAGCCCCACAGACGCCCATAGACGCGCAGTCCAGGGTAGTTTCAGCTGCTCTGTGCGTGTATGAGACTCCGCTCTCTTTCCTGTTGTCTTACTGGTCTTGTTCATCCTGCCGCAAGTTGCGACAGCGTCACCCGCGCTGTTTTAGAATACGCAAGCGGCCATAATCGTATAGCGTTTGGAGGAAATAGATCTCTTTTAAGAACAAGGTAGTGACTATAATGATAAGCCTTCGGCCGCCAGATGTCCCTACGTATTAACCAAGGTTCCACCCTCTTAGAAGAAACATGTTCTTTACATAGGCACGTACATTCCGATCTGGTCGGTTTGGGGAATAGAGTTGTCGGCCAAAACGGTACGGATGCAGGGAAAGTGATTCTAGGATTTGTACAGGTGATACACCAAACACGCGTAGCAATTAAAACTGGCTCAGTAACATACGGTAATGGGATTGCGCGTTGATGCGCCGAACAAGGTTTCCGCTCGCGCGTCGCATTAGGGCCAACCGCTTAGACGTACAGTAGTCGTTCAGGCCGTCCGGGCAATTTTTTATAGTCCATTAGAGATACAATATATAGGAGTACCGCGCTACTGCTTACCGGTCTTCGCACCGTTAAGCATCGGCTGTCTTTATCAGCTTGTCGCCAAGATGCGGGGCTCTGAGTGCAAAGGCTACCAAACCTTCAGATGTCCTGCGTGCATAGTAACATAATAGCGGTGCAAGGCCAAGCGTGCTGCTGCTAAATGTGTAGCAATGCGCTCCCAAGCGAGCCCTGCTAATCCCTGGGTCCCATGCCTGTTTCACACCTGGGTTGCGTTACCTGCAAACCGCGACAAACCGATTATCAAGGCTAGGCTGATATAGGAGTCTTGCATTGCATTGGGACTGCTCGGACTGCCCCCTGACTACCGGTACTGACTGGTACGGGCAATACCGACCTGCCGACGCCTGGGTCATTGCTGGGCTAGCGGCTTGCTCGTGAGTGCTTGTTCCTTTCTTTTGTAGACCACCGTCAAGCAGGCTTTAGTGCTAAAGCCCTTACACATTAGCTTGCTGTCGTAGTGTACACCGGTAAGCGTCGCTCGTCCCTAGCTTCCGGCCTGGCTCAAATGCATTACCAGCCCGGGGTACGGTACTAATGGTAAGGGCCAGCTGGCGAAGCCCTTTTGGCTGCTGATACTGTGAGCCGACGCCTGAAGCGCATGCTGCCGGATGTGCCGCCAGGCCCTGCACACTTTCATAAAATTCGGGGGGGGGGTTGCAGCCTTCCGTCAAAGCACACGCGGCTTAAGTTCAGAGTTCCGTGTCTTCCGTCAAGGCATGACTACCCAAGTGTCGTAACCATTGCTGGGGCGTAAAAAGAACGCATGAAGTGTTGGAGGAGTCAGGGAGCAGAGGCGTCCAGTCAGTTGTACACAACGCCCATGCAGTCGGCACAGCAACGGGTACTGGTTGTTTGCCAAGCACCCAGCCGCTTTGCCGAACTGCGTCTATCCTTTCGCTGTATAGCCACGGTTGCATCCATACAAGGTTGAGTCCCGCGAGCGCGCAGTCCGCGAGGGGAACATGCGGGTGTTGCTGGCACATGCACACGCATTATCGACAACTGTCTGTTTATCCCTCAGGTTGTTATCGAGACTTAAGGGGCCAACACCTTTCAGCTAGTAGGAAACCGGTGTGCATGCTGCTGGATAACAGGAAAGCAAGAAGCTGCGGTGCGGCAGCGGCAATGTTTTGCAAGCCCTGCTGCACCGGCGGGTCACAACTGCGCGAGGTCCGCGGCCTGACATACGCTGTGCGCGGCGGTAGCTTACAGGCAACTCCATATCGAAGAAAGTTAAGACCGGCTCTCTGGCCTTTGGCATGTAGCTAGGGTTTGGTGTGCAAAGTGTGCACGACTAACTTACTAGGGAAACAAGAAGTACTGTAAGCAATGCCAACGGCGAGTAGAGATCAGAAACTACTGGTTTTTGTCGGGGTGTCCAGGATGTAGCGACTGCGTCTGACTATTCCGAACAATGGAACCGCCTCTCCGTTGTACGGCAACGGCCTACAACGGGTGAACGCCAATACGCCCATTTAGCGGTACTCGCAGTGTTTTGAAATGCTAAGTACTAGACTTTTAAGTTTTTTGTGTGGCTTTCCTATAACTCAATGCAGGAATTGTTCGGCAGCCGTATACGGTACAGTAGGGAGATAGTATAACTCGCACTTACTGCCACATTTTGCTCATCTCAATCGACCTTTCACTGGAGCTCGCTGCCCTTCCGCTGGCCTTCCCACTACGCAACTCCTGTTGAAAGCATTCGCTCAGTGCGTCAACGCCTTGGCTCGGGTTTGCTCAGCAATGTCTAGTGAGAGGTGAGTTACACTGGGCAGGTGCTTTCGGCATGGAGTGTCTTTGCAAATGTGGCCTCTTCGACTGCCTGTACTCAAGCGCCCAGCTAGGTTTCACTGTCTAGACAGCGTTTCATAACTTTACTGCGGATATGAACAGTACATCGCCTCTACATAATTTGTCCTTTAGACGCCGCTGCTTTTGAACGCTCATAGGCATTCAAGCCATGCGCCGCTTGCTTGAATGAAGACGACTTGTAGCTCCTCCTTAAACTATCCACCCTATCAACACCTTCAACACGCCCATTCCTTATTAATTTGCTATGCATGTAGTAACTCGGACTTGATGACTTCCTATGGCAGTGCTCGTGTTGGCGGACGACTTGGCGGTTCATGCCTTCAAGGCACCATCGACGAAAGTTACTACGAGTGTCTGGATTTGGGCCTGGCTGCCCTTTCCAACAAGGGCGTTCAGGGCACTACTGGCGCCGAAGGAGATGATGACCACAGCCTGCGGGTCGCCCTGGCTAAGGCGCTGCGACTTGTTGCAGCCCTGCGCGCGGAAAACGAGCAACTGAAGGAGCAGATTCTGGAAGCAGAGGAGTTACTCGGTAAGTCATGTCGATGGTTTATTACAAGAAAACGTGTGTTTAGGCATGGACGAAACATGAGTACCTGACATGCATGCATCCACGCTATTGTAAAACCAGCGCAGATTCTTCGGACAATGTTTGTAGTTCCCAAACCAAAAGTTGCACATCACCCTCGTCGACAAACGTGAACCCGGCTTTCTTCCATGCCTCTTCATCACAACTCCTGTACCCCCACAGCCGCTCGCGACCTCGCCTTGGACCGCTTTCAAGCTGAGATCGAGAACTTAACTGCATCACGTGACCAGTACTCTGTTCAGCTGTCTCAGATCTGCTCCCAACCCCCTGGTAGATTTATCACCAACAACACCAGTAGCAACACCACCAATATCCCAGGCGTATCTCACCACCACCGACCTCCGCTTGACCGCCGGCCGCCAAATCGTCGTACTGCGACCTCCGGCCAGCCGCCCCAACTACCTCGCGCGGCTTCATGCAGCGGCATACCTGCCTCCTGCGCTCTCCCCGGTTCCGCCGCCTCAACGGGTGGCGCATCCTCTGCAGCTGCAGCTGCCGCCGCCAACACCGACAGCAGTTTCCTGCAGAGCTTGCTACCGTTGTGGCCACTGCCTCAGTGGTTTAGCAGCGGTGGCGCTGCTCCAGCCAGCAACAGTAGCGAGGGCGCCGCTTGTGCCGCTGCTGAAGTAACGTGTGGCCCCGCAGGGGCGGCGGCTCGATACTCTCCGGGTACTTCCCCGTTGTCCAAGTCCTCCTCCAGGGCCGCACTGATATCCACTTCGGGTGGCGCTGCGGCCAATGCCACTGCCTGCTGCGACGCTGGTGAAGAGGAGGAGTACTTTGGAACCTTTCGAACCCCACTCGGCAAGCCGGCCAAGGAGCAGCACCCGCCGTCGAGCTGCTCCCCCTCATCCTCTGACGCAACAATACCTTCGGGCTCCCTGGAACGAGCTTCTACAGCGCGTACAGAAGGCGAAGGCAACACTTCTGCCTCATCTCCCGCCGCAAGCAGCAGCGAAGCAGACGGTTGCACTAGCAGCCGTGTTTCCTCCCCAGGATTCTTCTCGTCATCCCCAGCCGCCGCAGTCCACTCTGACGATGAGAACGATGACGATGACGCCTCATCGCCCGGCCGGAATTTCGCCGTTCATCCAGCCATTGCATTCTGGGGCCACAGCAAGACGGAAAGCAAGCGCGCGATTGTGTTGAACCGCGTGGCTGCTCCGGGTCGCTCGCCGCACCGGTCTGCGTTTTCAACGGACGGCAGGGCTCCGCTGGAGTTGCCGCCAGTACAGGAGCACGAAGGGCAGCAGCAGCAGCAGTCACAGCCGCAAAAGCGGCGTGCCGAGGTAGTCCGTCGTAGTTCGTACATCTGGCGGCGGCAGCAGCCGAGTGTGAAGAACATGTCGGAGTCAGGAGTCTTGCCCAGCTCAACGGCAGGGGCAGCATCACGGGCTGCGGTTCAGAGTAGCAGCGCGGGTGGCGCAGCAGCCGGGTCATCCGCAGCAGCAGCACCAACTGCAGCGGCAACACCCGCGGCACATCAGGAAGCCCGGAATGCGGAGTTCATTTCGTTCATGGCGCACTTCAAGGATAGCTTTTAGTTGCGCGGCTGTGTAGGGTGCATATACGACGCGTGTTTTGCGCTGTGGTTGCGTTGTTGTCCGCGTGCTGCGATGCACGCTTGCAGTGTTGGGGTGCGCATGCCGGGGAAGCAAGTCCAGACCTGTGTATGTTTTATATTATAAGCGGTGTCAGGAGGCATGTCGCCTGATTCATTTCGTGTCCAGAATAGGTTAGGGTCAGTAAGGTAGTTGTTAAAATTGCAGGATACCGATAGGTCGTTTCCCCCGGATGCAGTAGGTCGTTTCCCCCGGATGCAGTAACAAGGGGGTTCAGCTTCCTCAAAGCTGGAAAAGGGCGGAGCCCCTCCTCTTCAGTACAGGAATGTATTATTACCACTGGAATGAATGCGATTACAGGGGAGTGGAACGACTCAATGGGCCTTATAGACTTGGAATGAGCACGGCATGCGCTCCTGTGACTCCACGGCACCAGATGACCTAACACGGATGTTATACGGACGCTGAACCCCCTTGTTTACTGTAGTTTTAGTGCTCGTTGCATGGCTAGACAAGCTCAGAGCCCCTTGTCCAGCCAAGGCCGGCCGCCTTGTTCACCCACGGCGTACATAGTGTCCTCACTCATTGCACACATTGTTAGGTTACGCCTGTTCAATCGCGCACTCAGTAACGTCTTATCATGCTTGATAACACCCACGCATTAGGCTACAGAACCCAAATCGACGGCGTAACTGCCACATGGGAGTGCTTTCAGGGTCGCGTAGGTCGTTTAGGTTTCACCTACATTACTAACATGATGAGGAGGTCAGGCTCGGCAATCTCGGCATCGTGCTCAGAAGGACTTCAGCCATTGCGCCCCAACATCGCATGTTAGCTTATAGGCGAGGTACCCGTTTGCATTACAGTTCATAGGCATTATGGCACACAAACCAATAGCAATGGCAGGCAACATCGTCACAAAGGATTGTGTGAGCTCAGAGTAGCACAATCGATGGAAGCAAGCATGCTCTCGCCGACTTTCACAGGTAGCCCTTTGGCGACACGCCGCTGTTTCCAATTCATTAAATACTGTTTACGGTACCAGGACAAACCATAGAGGAGCGCTAATCGGTGTTGCCGCGGTGGTCCTTTTGAATGGCTGGTCATTAAATCGTTTGTTGCGAAATTAAGTTTGTTTGGCTTCCAGTTATTTTTACTGAATACAGATAACAAATATGTATTAGGTGCAATAAATAGTTTTGTCTAGTTTGTATGTTTTGCCGTTACGGACACACGGACGGACACACGGACACACGGACACACGGACACACGGACACACGGACACACGGACACACGGACAGGGGCAATCCTGGGGGGCGAAGCCCCCCCGAAGCCGCTTCGCGGCGGGGGCTCCGCCCAAAAACACAGCAATGAAATTCCTGTGACTGGTTGGACAGACTGCTATTTGCGCAATAAAGTTCTGCGACGATGTGGTTATAAGGTGTGTGGAGTGTCGTACTCACGCTCGTAAGTCGCCTAAGCTGCGAGCCTGCCTGCGACTGACATACGGATTATGTCAACGGATACTGTACGTGTCGTTCCCTGTTTTGGAACGTGATGCGTGTGTGGGGATGAGCGAGCGCTGGGCAACGAGTCTTAGACAGCCTTAGTCATGGGGCAGCTTCTTTCCTTCACATTGCTGCCTTCCTTATCTTTATTGCTTGTAGGAGTGTTCCTATGTTGCTTTCATCAGTTGTCATTCTTCACCTTTTGGGGCTGCCATCACTGGGGTGAGGGCCGTGACATGTAGCAGTGTTGTGTTATGTTGTTATGTTGGAGTTGTTAACTCGGTGGCACACACGTTAGCAATCCAACAAAGTCTGAGGCGTTGCCTGAGGACGAAAGTCAAATGTGGCCGCAAGTGTCAACAAACGTTTAACTTCAAGTTCATGTGAAGGACTGCGCCCATCCTGGGTACGGCAATCTTATACCTGCACGTTTATGACTATGAGCTGGCATCGGTGGCATGCCGCCCGCCGAGGGTGACATCGCCCTGTAATATCCCTGTACCATGTCCTGCTTGAAGGGATATTTGCCTGTGGGATGGCTTTCTCGCGCAAGTAGAGAGCTGCTGATTGTGGAACCACTACCACTTCCCGACTCTCATCTTCCCAGCTCCTTGGATCCCTTGCTTGCCCTCTCCTTTCGTTCCATACATGCCATATTCGCAAAGAATTGGTAAGGGTGGGTCCTAATGGTGGTTAGCAGCTTTTTGCCTGGTGTGTCATGTGGAGCCGGCGACCGAGAAGCATGGGGACATTTACCATGGAGGAGTAAATGGGGACCATATCATGGGAACAATGTGTGCATGACGCCCACATGTGCATTTAGCCTGTGTCTGGCTGGAGGGATGGGCCTGTAAGGATAGGGCGGGTGGGAAAGCTCTAAACCCCAACCCCTCCTACAACCCTTTAACCTTTCCTTAAGGGCTTCGGAAAGGACTTCGATGTTGGCATCTTCCGTGCCGTCGTCTGAGCCCCCATTCCATTCCTCACCTGTGGCTTTGCCGCTGTTTTCTGTCCATTTCCTACTCCAACAAAATGCTTACCCGGTAGAAGACTGGCCCCGTCTCCTAAATACCAAACGCGAAAATGTTCTGGGTTTAGAACACATTACAGAAGTCCGTTAGCAGGACGTACGTCATCTGACGTCGCTGACGTCAGCTTGACTGCGGGCTCACAACAAACACGGCATTTCATACTTCTCCACGCAAGGCCAAAAGGCTTCTTACATTTTGTTTAATGTGCAACATTCTGTGTTGGAGGACACCACTAAGGTATCCGTCGGCTCCAGACCTGTAACTAAGTACCTAGTGACACAAAGCGAGCTGGCAGAATGATGTAAACAATGGCGATGTCGACCGTTTCTTCTGCAATTGTTGCTCAACATTGTTTCCTGGACATATCAAGGATTTGTAGGAAATGTTTAGCTGGCATCAAGTCGTCGCAGACAGCCGCTTTTTAGTAAGCAACCTGCTTTTCAATAATTATGGAAGTAGGGCTACTACAACTGGCTGTAACACACCTTTTAGCCACCAAAGCCGGGGCTTGGGCGCTTCGAGCGGTTTACGGTGGCCATCAGCGACAGAGCCAAACCCAAACACAGCACAAATGTCAGAAACGTGGAGCAACAAAATCCTCTAAGAAGTCGTTCAAGAGAACTCAAACCGGGCGTCAACCTCCCGCTGCTCATGGCAGCGCCAATGGCCAGCGGCGTCAAGGCAGCCATCGTTCCCGACTGCACGACCCCTCGCCCTCATCAGCCGCAGCATCACGCGCCAAAGCTACAACTGTGTCTGGTGGGACACATCACGCTTCCCCAGCACATGCCGCGCTCCTTGCAGCGGCCCCGCTAGGATTCCTGCCTTGGGGCGCCCACAACCAGCAGCAGAGTCCCCAACCTCACCAACAACAGCAGCATCAACACCTGCTACTGACATCTAGCTGCCAGCAGCAGCCCGAGGGTAAGCCTCGCCAGCACCAGATTCCTCACACCTCCGACTCATCATCTTCTGAATCCATCTGCAGCTCAGCGGCTGGAGAGGACAACTGCAACTCGGCCGCGGCCACCCGCACGGCACTGCTACGCTCCTCCTGGCCCACATCCCAGGCAGGGTCGCAGCTGCAAGCAGGGCCTGTTGGCCCTGAGGTCCTCGGTTGGCATTTGGAGGCTGACAGTGAGTCCCTGGATGTAGAAGCAGTACGATGGGGCGATCAGCCGCTGGAGCAGCATGCGGCGCAGCAGCGGCCTCAGGGCGGCAGTAAAGGGCCCCTTTGGGCTACAGGTGGGTTGGATGGGCAGGGAGGCCAGCATGCAGGACAGTTGCATGTCCTGGGATACCGGTGTAGTGTTTGGGCCTCGGGGCTGCATGCAAGCTCATACACCCCCTACCTGCTGCTGCTGCCCGCCCTCACAGCCGTGGCAGCGGCAGCCCGGAGGCTCATGCGCGCGGAGGGCGGCAGGATGAGGCCGCTGACAGGCACCCAGAGCTCCGCAGCCCCGCCCACCGCCACGCCAGGCGGCGCCGCCACCGCCACCGCCACCGCCACTGCGACTACTCCCGCCACCTCAGGCGGCAGCACTGGGCAGCCGCCTAGCCACCCCCATCCCCACCACTCCCACCCCCAGCATGTGCCCCACCTGGTGGGGCCTGACGCAGTCGGCTACTCGGGCGGCATACTTGGCTTCGACCTCGGAAGCACCGGCGGCGGCTTTGGAGGCGGTGTCGGCGGCTTTGGCTTTAGTGTTCGCAGCGGCGGTGGCGGTGGGGGCTTTGATGCCACCGGCTTTCGCAGCAGCATGGGTCACATCCCCAGCAGCCTGCACAGCCGGCGCGTTGGCGGCGGCGGTGGTGGTGGTAGGGGCGGCCTGTGGGGTGTACGGCGTGCCGTTGGCGATGTGTTTGGCGGCGTGGCGGAATGGGCGGTGGAGGGCCCTGTGAGGAGTCTGCGGGAGTTCAACCGGGCTCTGACGGTAGGATGGGACGTGGGGGTGGAGGTGGAGGATGGGTGCATGGGGAAAGGTGTTTGGGCGGGGCTTGAGCGCAGCTGGCTCGCGAGTCCTTGCGGTGAGTTAGCGGTTGTACGGATACAGAGAAGCGTGCCTTTGTACTTGCAGGTATTTACCCCCTAGGTCAACGGTCCACTTCCATTGCACGGCGCTCTCCTTGGGTATTGCCCGTACCGATACTCCTCCCCGAGTACTTCACCTTCCACAGCACCCCAAGGCTTTACCTCCGTTGTTTCCTAACCCGGTACATAAACCCCCATCCACGTCCTCGTCTTCCTCCCTCGCCTCCACCCTCATACAGCCCTTCTCAACTCCCGCACCCATTCAGGAGAGTGTCAGCGGCTTCCTGGCGAGTGACTCGGGTCGGCGGCTGAGTGAGCAGGTGGCGGCGGAGATGAGCGGAGGTGCGGGGAGGAGGGGGGGTCGGGGTCAGGTGTCGGGGAACCTGCTAAACGTACACAAGAAAGGGAACATTGCAGCAGGAACCATTTGGCAAGCGGCCGCGGATGGTGTGAGCAGCCATAAGGGTGAGTAATAGGTAGGTAGTTAGGTTGGGCGTTGGGTACAGGTGGCGAATCTGGAAGGAGAATCGGCTGAGACGGGTGGCATTTTACGCACCTTCCCAACAGCGGACCCATGGGTCGCTGATGGCAAGCTAAAGCTTCCCGTTCCGCCGCCTTTCCCTCCTACCAGGCGCACTGATGGCGCCGGTCTACCTGACGGAGGAGCTGGTGAAGGCGAGACTGCGCAGGTGCGTGCGCGTGCATGCGTGTAAGAATAGAGTTTGTGAGGCAGGACGGAATGGAATGGGAAGGACAGGTGTGGAGTCGCTTGAGTATGTGTCTGTGCATCTCGCGCATCGTTTGTGCTTAGTACTGCTGTATTACGTCAAATGCCCCTACTGCGCATTGGTGCAGGGGCCTGAAAGGCGCTCCGTAGCGCCCCCGCACAGGCTTCGCGCAGCGCCCTTCCACGCCTACCCACAGTGCCCCTAACCCCAACCCCGAACGACCCATGTAATCGCCGTCTCGTCTTGCCTCCTCCCCTGCTGTTTCCAGCCTGGTTGCGGCTCATGCGCGGCGGGTGGCGGCGTTTTTCGCGGTGCGGGTGATGGTGGCCTCCGCGCTGCTGCACGGGGCCAAGGGACTGGTCAGGAGGTGGGTGTGGCTGCGGAGAGGCGGAAAGGAAACGTACGAGTCACCGGCAGGTGTCAGTGATGAGGGGACCTAACATGTCGCAGGGAGGGGACGGGGAGGGCATGTAGAGGAAGGTGGTGGGATGGGGTTGTGCGGGGCTTTGGGGGGTGGTCAGGACATGAGAGAAGGGGGGCGGAGGGGGAAAAAGATGTGCGTAAGGATGATGATCAGGTGTTCAGGGTGCTGCATATATAGGGTGTAAATGGGCGGCAAGGAGGTGGAGCCGCGATCGCGCAACCCCTGCACGGCCCCCCCCCTTCACCTCCCCTTGCGCCCGTACGGCTATAGCTGCTAGGCACCTTCCCGGACTCACCATGCGACTCTGCGTCACCGGGGCCGTGCTCAGGTTGCCCGCCGCAGCCGCTCTCCGTTCAACTTATCACGTTACTGCCATAACCCTCCGCGCCCCAGGCTGCTCCGCAAGAGGCCCCCCCGGCGCCTGCCCACCTGGCTGCTGGGCTCGCTGGACTGGTGTCTGGAGGCGCTGCTGCCCACCGGCTTCTTCGGGCCGCTGCTGGGGCTGACGGCGGGGGTGATGCAGATGGCGGGGGTGGGGCCGCTGGGGGTGGGGGCGGCGTACCTGCGACTGGCGTCGTCGGCAGCCGTGGCAGGTGGGATGAACGTGGGAGTGGGAAGGGATGGAGGGGAAAGGGAGGGAATTGGGGGTTGGGGTGCGGAGGGAAGAAGGGACAGGGGCTCAGTGTGGTTGTTGCGCCGCCTTGTGTTAGAGAGGGAGGGGTAAGCGGTCTCCTTCCGGGCGGGTGGGGGAGGACGTGGGAGGAGGTGGGGGACAGCTCCGGGGTCAGGGGTTTGCGTTGTCGTACCTGTCGACACGGACATGAGGCCCATCGGGATGTTGTCTGATTTCCCCCACGCACGAGAGCGACTTCGCTCTTTTCTGCATCAGGTGTGGGTAACACGGGTAGCCACCGTATGCGTTGGTCCACTGATGGCATGCCGGATGCCGATATACGCCACGTTGCATACTCCGTCTCTCTCCCCGTAAACCTCCCCCCCTGGGCTTACCCTCACCCATGCACGCAGAGGCTCCCCCGGTGCAGCCGCCGCTGGCGACGGCGCTGCCTGCGGTGGCGGCGGCGGCGACTGACGCGATGGCTGCGGCGGCTGGGGGCGCGGTCGCGGCCGCGAGTGAGACTGTTGCTACTGCTGCTAGCGCCCTGACTGGCGGCAGCAACAGCAGAATGCTGCAATAGCGGTGCGTGGTGGGGATGAGAGAATATTCGTTTCATAGGAAATGAGAGTGTAACCCGCGGCAGTAGCTAGGCGCAACATTGTCAAATTCACAGCGGCGTGGGAAAGCACTGCATCCTTAGCAATGTCCAACTTGTACAGCAGTGCGGAAGAGTTGTTCCGTTGTTTTACAGCGAACAGAAGTGTTTTTGTAGCCGTATCTGCTGGGCGACTAGAGAGTGGAAGGCGCTTAGGCAGTCTGATGGAGCTGACTTAGCCCGCCAACCGGAAACAGTTGGTCGTTGTGGGGGAAGATCGTTAGGGTTGTACACATACCGGTATCCACGTATCTAACTGTTACCCGCTGGCACCTGCTGGGCCGAGAGATCATCTTTCAGGTTGTTGTTTTTTGCGCACGCCGTCGTGAATGGTTGTCAAAAGCTGACTTCAGGATGCCTCTCGTTTTGTCGATTTCAATTGTTTTGCGTCTTCGCGTCCCTGCCGTAGCAATTCCTGCTGTAGCTCAACCAAGATGCTACGGGCGACGTGGGCTGACACCAACAGAAACCTTATGATGTCCCCAAAGTGCCGTACGTGTACGTCATCGTACAAGCGGTTACTTGGGTGTTCACACTGCTGCTGCACTCTTATGGACGCGGAGTGGAGGGCATATGATAACAATGCACGAAATACATCATACAATGGCGAAGGATACCGAGAAACATGTGTCGATGAAAACATGTTGGGAAACACCTGTGCGTGGATGGAGAAGCAGTTCATTCATGGTTGGGGTAAGCGGCCTGACCGCAAAGAGTAGTGCGCGCATTTCTTACAATGCCTGCAGCCTAAAGGAACCATGGAAGCATCGAGCATAGTACAGAGCAGTCGTTGTACAAGGCATGACTCTCGGAGGCGCAGGCGGAGCATGCATGCGAGGGGCGGTTGCGCCTGTAACTAGGTGCTATACTTAGTCGAAATGCAGGTGTCTACATGTGCGTCAAGGAAGGCGTACGACAATCGACAGGGTGGAACGGTGGGGATGTGGTACTGAATGGAGGAGTTCAACTTCCACAAGCGGCGTCACCACAAAGAGTAATGCGCGCATGTAAGGGAGGGTGCATTTCTTACAATGCGTGCAGCCTAAAGGAAGCATCGAACACAGTACAGAGCAGTTGTCGTACAAGGCACGAATCTCGAAGGACATGCGGGAAAAGCCGTGTATGCCTCTGCATGGATGCACCGTCACGGATGGGGGAGGGGAGGCAGAAGCCCTTGTTGGTGAAGGCCACCGTGAACGGCGCCTCGCCTGGTAAGATGCGAGGTGAGGGAAGGCCTGCATGCGTGAAGGGGAGGGAGCGAACAACGTCCGGCCTGCGTCGCGGTTGGGGCGAGCAGGTTCGACTTATCGTAGCTGGAGCGAGTGATAGTAATTGGTGTTTGTGCCAAAGCCTTACTTGAGTAGCTGAAAGTAGCACGGACCGGCAGTATAGCTGCTTAGCACTTTGAGCGCGCTTGTCGCTGGAGGCTTCTGTGTACCAAGACGCTTGTTGCATTTACAAAGTACGCATATGGAGGTTTCCTGCGGCCAACAGCGATACAGCCGGGCGTCCAGCTCACTTTACGACAAAGCACCCGACCGGCGGGGCTGCCACCGTGCCACGAATATGCTGCGCACAAAAGCGTTTATGTTATTACGTTCTCATCAAGAAATCCGGAGCTCTGGTTATCGCCATTTCAAAAGAAGGCTTGCCCTGAAGAAGGCTTCAAAAGTTACTGGCGCGCGGCGCTTGCAATGTTGTCGCTAATTCGGTGGCATTCATTATCGCTGGGCTATATTTATATGAAGCAATAGGCGGTCATAGTCGCAGTCTAGAAGAGTGCGACTTCATTCTTTTGCTGGCCATGAATAGAGCGATAGGAAGAGGGCGTCTCTGTAATGTAGTAAATAACCAAGATCATTGGGAATAGCAAGGCGGTAGTAAATGCAGCGCAGGGAGATACGTACGATACGGGGTTGGCCTGAAGTATCTGAGTAAGCATGGGCCGCCGACAGCTATCTGGGGACTACACCGGCACGCACGCACGCACCCGGCCAACCACTATGCACGTATGTATGCCCCACATGTTGTGCCGGACTACCCGCCCATTATCCTTGCTCGCAGCTGCTTTGTTTGCATTCAGGTTACACGTGCCTGGCTGTGTGTAGTTGAGTAGAAACAAGAGCAAGCAGTTGGGATAGGTTCGCATGTGAACCGCGAGTATAGTCAAAACAGAGGCAAAGCAGAGATTAACAAACCTGAAACGTAACTCAATAACTGCTTTAAACGCGGGTGCTGGATGTAAGAAGAGTGGCGGGTTGACGACGCATGTCGGTGATGCTGATGGTGTCGGGAAAAACTAATTACTGCTGAGTACCTAGCCCGCTGACCAACTCGACGCCGGGAGCCCCCGCTCTGGTCACGCAGACGAGACACCACAATGCTGTGCATGCGTGCGTGCAAACGCGCATTGCGTACCTGCGAGCAAAAGCGCCGTAGTCAGCACCAGTACCAGCAGCTGCAGTAATGCGAGTAATGCCATGCGCAGGAACATGAACCAGAGCGAGGAAAAGGGGGACAGAGTTAGAGACAAAATGGACCTAGATCGAAGTGCGAAATGTACGGCAAAGCAGGATGGCATGTGAGACAGGACGAACGCAAGCACAACACAACATGAATGCAAATGCAGAAAACAAAAACAACACAACCGGCGCGAGTGGTCGAGCAGGCACTGAGCTGTGGCTGCAGCGGTCAGCTGAACCGCACTGAGAAGTAGCGTTGTCTAAGAGCAAGACGACTGTAGCGTTGTCTAAGAGCAAGACGGCGGTGCAATGGGATGCGTGCAACGAACAGGCAAAGGCCAGCAGAGGGGCACGGCCGTGTGTGATGTGGTGCAGTGCAGTGGTGAGTGCCTGGCTGTGTGTATGTGCTCGTCGATGAGCCGCCTGCAGCCTGCCACCTGCCCATCATGCATCCCTGCAGGCCCTGCTCGCACCCGCCATGCATCAGGGGCCACACGGACATAAGCAAACCCGCCTGCTGGACAGCCCAAGGAGTTGTAAAGCTCTCGTCACTCTCGCAAGTCCTATGCTTTCATCAGGGGTCACGTGGGTGTTTCGTCTACAAGCCGCCTGCATCCAGACTGCCCACCATGCATCCCTGCTGCTGGTCACAGCATCAGGAGGATCATCCACACTGACACCAGCTAGCCCGACAGGTATGCGTGCCTATCACTTCTAATCGCAACTACCGTACCTGTGTCTGATCACCGCGCAGCAGGAAATTTAGGGATTATTTATTTTAACGCGCAGCGCTGTAAGGAATTAATTCGTTGTAACTAACGCGCAGGGGTCTGAGCAATTATTTTCCACTTCGCGCAGCCTTTAAAGTAGTACTGCAGTAGCCTGAAGCTTATACTAGAAAGACCGGAAAAGCAGGGCAATGAACTTAAAGCTACGGCTTAAAACGGATCAGAGAGGAGGTGTAGGTATGGATGGGGCCGGGAAAAGAGCGAAACCCGGAATTTCGAGTCAGCACGCACTGGTGGCCACGCCATGGGCAATTTTTTAGTTAACGCGCAGTCCTTTGGGGAATTATTTTTTATTAACGCGCAGGCCCCGGACCAATTATTTATTTTTGCGCGTTAATATACATTTCTCCAAATAATTATTTATTTTTGCGCGATGATCACTGGGAGGTACGGTATTGCCATGCAACCAAGGCAAACGCGGGTTGCTTGTATGTTGTCACGCTTGGAGCCTTTCCCTACCCCTACCGCGTGCTAGCCACACATGCATAGCGGGGCCCTACCTAACCCTGTCCGCCATGTGCCACGGTGACGTTCCTTATGTGTCCAGCACGGACCTCTTGATCTCCCCAATCAAGCTGTTTCATCGGATGGATTGCGGAATTGGCACACATGGATTCGCGACTATATATTGGGCCGCAACTGACAAGCAGGATTGACAGCTGGAGCAGGATGACGGAGGGCTGCTGACTCAGGCTACTGAACAAGGGCATGGCTTGCTGTGGTGGTCACTGAGCCAAAGACACCCATGAAAGGTAGTGACGGCTGCAGGCGGTGTGCTGCATGTGTAGCTTGTGCAGATACCTGCTGCACAGCAGCTCGGGTCACATGCCTGCTCCAACATCCTGCTGGTGTGTGCCCATTTGCATCACTGCCATGCCCCCAAGGACGGATGTACAGCTGCGTTAGCAACTGGCAGCATGTGCTTGTACCTACTGCAGCATACACCACAGGGCCGCCAAAACCAAAAATGCTTGGTGCTGTGCACCATCCTCCAAAGCTTTCTAGTCAGTCCCCTTAACCACTCGGGCACGACTGCCAGGGGGACGCCCACTGAAGGGTAGAACGCAGTCGACAGGATTCGAACCTGTGCAGGCAAGCCTAACTGATCTCCGGCTTTAGGGAGGATGTCAAGAAATGTACATGTAACACTTATATACCGAAAACCGTTCCCAACCGCTCCGAAACCAGACCCTAAATCCCTCTCCCCCGCCCCTTTTCCGATTATCTTCTCCCCAATCGATCGCCTCTGTCATTCCCTTCTCCCACAAATTCATTGTCCGCCACCTTCCCCCGCAGACAGACACACGCACACGCGTTTTCCCCTGCAGCACGTACGTACGGTACATACACATGGCAAGAGATCGTAGGCTAAGGAAACGCCACAGCTCCGTCTGCCTGACTGATACAGCCCTTGCGCGGCATCCAGCCCGCCCTACGAGAGTGGAAGCTTCGAGCAATCCTGCGAGACCCAGACCTTCCGATGTACGTGTACCAGAGCTTACTTGCAGTCTGTGGTGCTTACATACAAGGAGCCACCCTTCCTGCTGCACACACGCACACACACACACACGCACACACACACACACACACACACACACACACACACACACACCCACCCACACACACACACACACCATCAGCATCACCGACATGCGTCGTCACTCATCACTCGCCACTCTTCTTACATCCAGCAACAGCCATTTAAGCAGTTTTCTGTATTACGGTTCAGGTTCGGTCAACTTTGTTTTGCCTGTACTCGCGGTTCACATGCGAACCTCTCCCCATTGCTTGCTCCTGTCCTACTCAACTACACACATTGCGTGGTCTACTTCCACGCGCAGGGGGCCTGTTTGAGCCGCGCTCGCTCTCCCCACTGCCATTTTGCTCTTGCTCCCTTCGCCTGTATTCTCGCATTTCGGGTTGCTGAGCCTGCCTGGCCTCGCAGGACCGCACTGTGCCTCTACCGGGTGGACGGTAATCGCTGCCACCGCTCCTCTGGTCCCCTCTGCCGCCGCTGTTCTTATGTTTCCGCATCAGCAGCAGCAGCAGCCACCGCCACCGCAGCAGCCGCCGTCGGTCCCTCTGCAGCCACAGCAACCAGCAACATCCGCACCCGCTGCCTCCGACTTTCCTCGGCAGTCTCACCTCCCTGCCGTAAGCCTCCCCGCCCCTTTCAACGTCCAGCCACTCCGTGTCTACACGGCGGACCTGGCCACCGCCTTCACGGGGTGTAACGCCCAGCTACGCGGTACCTGCGTGCTGTGCAAGCAGCTACGGGTCGTCGCCTACCCCAGCGTCGTCGGTGACGTCTTCGCCCAGACCCAGATCTGCCCTGCGTGCGCCTTTCGTCTTCAGGACGCTG